AGGAGCTGCGGGAAGTGGCGCCACTTCTCGCAGCTCCCATTGGCTGGAAACGGCAAACCGCGGCCGCTGGGAGCTGAAGGGCTCCGTGCCTGTGAACGCTCCAGTTAAACAAAACGTCCCAACCCGCCTGCGTCTTACCCTGATGGGCCGGGAGCCAAAGTTTTCCAACCCCTGAAATATAGGGTCAGCTTATGAAAGGGTCATACAGATTTTGCTATTTTTACCTATCCATTTTGGGGGATTGGCTTATAATCGAACGGGCTAATGAACGAGTATATATGGTAATTCATATTTAGAGCCTAAACTGTTTACAATCAGTACTTAATGTACTCCTTAGTATCACTGAGTGTAGTTGCATCCTCACAAACACCAAACAATCTCTTACACTTAAAGCAATATACACATTCACATACCCTGCTGGTAGCTGGAAAAATGATTACATTTTGCTAGGGGATTTGCTTAAACTGCAGGCATTTGCATTGTGGTCTCCACTGGATAATGTTCAGGGTTCTACTGAAATTGGGTGCTTACCAGCTGATGCCTGTGGACCTACAACAACGCTCACTGAGCTGTTAATACATATCTACTACACAGTTGTTCGAATTGCTTATTGAAGAGTTATTTCCTGTGAAATCTGTGCTTGTGGAAAATGGGAGACACACAGCCTGGGAGATCAAAGTCCTCTGTTTCAGAATAGGTTCAGTACAGGCAGCAGCAGTGCAGACTTCCCAGCACTGCCAGCCAACAGTCCTGCATTCTGAACTCTACAGATGGTCTTTTGGTATAAAATAGTTGGTTTGATAGTCTTCGCAGAGAAGTAAAGGGCTGAAAGGACAATTGGTGCCAACTAAGGTGGAGTTTTTTTGTGATGTGGACATCGCTCTAGCAAGAGTTGCACTTAAACCACTAAACAGCCATCAGATGGTGGTAACCTACGATTACTATCTGAAGTTGGAAGGCCACACTCTATGAACATTCCCTTGATCCTTCAGTTGTCACATTAAAGATTTTAAAAAAACATTTGAATAGGGAGGAAAAATTGGTCTTTTCCTCCTTCCCCCAAGCTAATGCAAAAATCACATTAAATACTAACAGCAGGAAAACAAAAACACATGAAATTTGGCAACATGAAGAGACTTGTCAAGGTCTGGGTGGGGCACTTGTTGGGCATGGGCTGTCCGGGTCCCACCTCCTCTTCAGAATCCTGAGAAGTACAAAAAGCAGTTACTGGAAGTTCTGTTACTAACATGTTATCTAACTGGACTTGTCCAAACGTAGTTAATGAGGACCCTGGCGTAATGTACCTGGGTGCTAGGATAGGATATGTCCAAAACCAGCAACATGACAAAAGTTACATAAATTGCATGTAATTAGAAGGTTCACATGGGGTCTATTTGAGAGAGATAAAATTCTGAGAGTGTGAGAGCTTCAGAGTATTATTTGGGAAGGTAACTAGCACAAGTCAAAAATTAAGAAAAAAGCAATTGCTAGGACCCTGATTTTGATAAACATCCGTGTGCAATTCATGCAAATCTAGTACTTGCACATGGAGCTGGCTTGCTGGGAGTCTGTCCATGTGCATTTTCAAATTAGCTGCATGGTTAGGGGAATCAGGACCTAAGAGCTCAGTGTAGCATGAATTACCAAAGGTTGCTTTAAGAGCTGCAGTCATGAACCTATTAAATACAAGGCAAGACAGGCACATACAGCTGGATAGACATTATGCAGGCTACATGGGCTCCTTCTGCCCTGAAATACTACTTTCACTATGAAGATTTCTTGGTAGCAGATAAATATGCCACACTAGTGCACTTCTCAGTCATTTTAAGGAAATTGCTTTTCAGTGTACAAGGGCACATTTATTGTCGAAGAAGTTTTGAGCAGAAACACTGAAATGATCAGGCAATGCTGATTTATTCGGCTTTTCTCTGAATTTTACTTGCGTGTAAATTGAACCCACAGTCTCTTTTATACACAAGTTATGAAAGAAAATCTGGCTGCTTGTCTAGAAAATGTTCCAAACTTAACAGTGTAAATATAAATTTATATTAAAATGTTAGCTTTGCAGAAGGAAATGGCTGACATGCGCTGAAATGGTTTGTATAATTAAAGTCCTTTAATGACCCCTGAAAAACTTGAAACTGAAATTGATTTTTTTTATTGACATTTCCCTGCTTCAGTCATGTGTATGCATTGATTTATTATTATTTTAGGGTTGCTGTGCTGGTTGCATTTTATTTGAGCATTGGAACATTAAACAAATATTAAACATCTGCTAAACAAATAAATAGAGTAGGCTAACATTTGGCCCTATCAACGTTTACAATATAATTTTACTTTTAACATGGTCTAATGAATAGAGCACTGGATTGGGTCTTAGGAGACCTGGGTTCTATTACTAGCTCTGCCACTGGCTTGCTGGGTGACATTAGGCAAGTCAATTCCCTTTCCTGTGCCTCAGTTTCCCCACCTGTAAAATGGGGATAATAATACTGACATCCTTTTATAAAGTGTTTTGAGATCTATGGATGAGAAGTGCTGTACAAGAGCTAAATATTATAATTATTATCTGAGTCAGTAAAAGACAGGAATTCTCAAATGAATCCTTCCTTTATATTGGTGTGAAGTTGCACATCACCTTCATTTCCTTATGTGAAAATTGACACACATGAATTGCTAGTGACTGAACGAAGCCAGCTAAGAAAAAACAGGGACCCCACAATAAGGGAATTGTCCTCTGTATAGACTGACCATAACCCTGAAGATACACATTTGTCTTTGCTCTTACAGCAGACATTAATAAGCTCAGTGTCTCGTTTACAACCATCTGTGTTGATCTGTTATCTGTGTGCAGGAGTCAGATAATCCATCTATTGTGCTATGCTCTAAACAATCAGGTCTTGTCAGTGCAGGGTCATTTTATGCAAATAAGGTATTTTCCCTTAATCCAACATGAAGAGAAATCAATCCTGTTTTTGAACTGTCAGTTAGTACTTGTGGGTCCCATCTGTTTTTTAAATACACAACTTGTGTTTGCAGGCTCAGTTGCCTCAGCTTGTTTGTGGTTGAGGTGGTTCTCTTAATGTGACTATCTGTCATGGCCTTCACATGGTGTGTGTGCAGCTTGTACATTCCTGGTTTGCCTGGATTTCTCACACATCTGCTATACATCCTGCCTTTTTGCTGGGTACAACTGATTGTGATACTTGCTTTTTTACTTGCTTTCACTTTTCATGTCCTGGGTTGTTTTATGAAGGGTCTAGAGGATACAAGAGCAGGGCCGGCTCCAGGCACCAGCTTCTCAAGCAGGTGCTTGGGGCGGCCGTTCCGGACAGGGGCGGCAGTTCCAGGTATTCGGCGGCAATTCAGCGGACGGTCCCTCACTCCGCCTGGGAGTGAAGGACCTCCCGCCGAATTGCCGCCGCAGATCGCGATCGCGTCTTTTTTTAGATCGCGATCGCGGCTTTTTTTTTGTTTGTTTTGGTTTTGGCTGCTTGGGGCGGCCAAAACCCTGGAGCCAGCCCTGTACAAGAGAGAAATTTGCAACTTTTTGTGAATAGAGTTTTGATTTGGAAATGGTAGAATTTATACAGAGCTGCTGAGTACATTTAAAAACAATGCTTGAAAATGTAGTGTAGTTGTAACCCTGTCCGTCCCAGGATATTAGAGAGACAAGGTGAGTGAGGTGATAAATAATGCTGGTAAATTATGTGTGAGATTGTATATGCGGTGACTTACAGATTTTTCAGGCACCTGTGCTGTTCTTCTCTCTCTCTCTCTAAAGTGGAAGTCAGAGAACAGGAAGTAGGACAGAATTTTCTTAATGGATCCATGTAATAAAAGAAGACAGTATAGATTAGGAAACTAGTACTTTAATACTGTCTAAGTTTCTGGTGACATCACAGTCCTCAAGCACTGGCCTCACTGTACAGACTATTACCTTAACGCTACTTGCATTTATTTGAATGCATAATCATTCAACTAAATGCAGCTGTGTATTTCAATGTGCAATGCTCCAATTACACACACAGTGCGTTGTTATAAAGTTGGATTTTCAAAAAATGCTCTTTTAGCCTAACTTTGCTCCGATTGAAGTTAATGGTGTATACACTTAAGCACCTTGTTAATATTTGCAGAATCAGGGCCCTAAGTTATTGACAAGCTTGAAAGTTTTTTCATCTTTATTTATAGAGTCACTTGATTCATTGCTAAAAGACCATCTTACACATTTCTTATATATAAAAAAATCACTTTTGGTCTGAGGAGAAAGAGAAATTCTAGCTCAAAGGGTAATTTGTTTGGAAAGTTATAAAAGTGTCTGAAAATAAGGACTTTGGACCTTCTCAGCCATAACTACTATAAATACAATGATATCCTTCATGATGACAGGTTGTGATCAAGAATATATTGTAAGTATTTCTTTGCAGGGCTACTTAGTCTCCTTAAAAGAACAATTAGCATGTTAAGCTAACACTTTCTCATTAATCATTTTGGCTGCTACTTCATTTTGTCATAGTATTGTGAACTGAAATGGGAACACTTTATATCGGAAAGCATACATTCAGACAGAACAAACATGAATTAACTTTGTAGTTTAAACACATAGAAAATATTTTTCATTTACCTTAAATGAAGTAGTTATTCCACTCTATTCAGCATTGTTAGACCTTAATTGGAGCACTGACTTCAATTTTGGGCATCATATCTTCAAAAAAACAGACCCAAGTGAAACAAATTAAAAAGAGGGCAGATAAAAGGTTTGGAAAATATTGTAAGACTTATTCAGCCTAAAGAAAAGGAGATTAATTTGAAACTTGTCTACATGTATGTACAGGAAGGGATAGTCTAAAGAGGTCAAGGATCAACAATTATTGTTGGGTCAAGAGTCAGACTATTAATAGGTTTAAGCTGCAGCAGTGAAAATTCAGTCTGAAAATTAAGAGAAACTATATAATTGGAGGAAAAGTTAGACAGTAAAACGCATTGCCAAGATTGGGGTTATGAAACTGGAGCTATTCAAGGGTGGCTAGACATCAGGGATAGTTTTGGAGTAACTGAATTAATCCAAGCATAATATCGGGAGGTTGACTAGATGACCCACTAACAATCCCTTCCAACCCAAATGATTCAATGAGACTTCTGAAATATCTCAATAGTGGCAGTTTCTCTGTTTCCAGCATAATAAGCTGTTACTACCAGATAGATATGCCAACAGTAATGTACCAGGACTAATGCTAGTGAGGTATAAGATCATAGCTGAACATGGCATTTTAAATGTTTCATAGAATTTATTTTTCTGTTAGGTTCAGCTTGCCCTTAATCCATGTGAAGATTTGCTGGCAACATATTATAGAAGTTATTAACAGTTTTTCACCATCTCTAACAAATCGTATTGTGGTGTTAAAGAAGAGTCTGTCCAAATGAGCAAAACATCACAGCAGAACACCACTACAGAAGCAAACGGTATAAGTGTGATTCACATACAAGCACACACAAGTGGTTTGCAACAGGTTCCTCAGCTGGTGCCAGGTAGTCCTGGTGGTGGAGGCAAAGCTGTGGCTCCAAGCAAACAGGGCAAAAAGAATTCCTCTGTGGATAGAAACAGTGATGAATATCGCCAACGCAGAGAGCGCAACAACATGGCGGTGAAAAAGAGCCGGTTAAAAAGCAAGCAGAAAGCACAAGATACGCTACAGAGGGTCAACCAGCTTAAAGAAGAAAATGAACGTTTGGAGGCAAAAATTAAGCTCTTGACAAAGGAGCTTAGTGTACTTAAAGACTTGTTTCTTGAGCATGCACACAATCTTGCAGACAATGTGCAACCTATTGGCACTGAAAACACCACCACAAACCCAGATAACACCGGACAGTAGACACAAACTTCAAACTTCACAACCTCGTGGACTGAACATTAGAGGTGCAGCCCTCTCTGCACTACTCATTCAGTACAGAGAAGGAATGCTGTTCTAACTTTTTAAAGATCATCTTGTGGGTATTTTTTCTCCTTTTAGGTTTAACACTGAAGATTTGATACAAATAAAATGTAAACTGTTTTGAGTATGTTTTAAAGTGTTAAATATTTTCTGCTCTGAAAGGTTTGGTTAAACAAGTAAAAATGATCTAAATGGACAAAACCAAGAGCCTGTCAGTGAAATTGAATTTATACAGCAATGTACATTCACCATCTTATATTTTGCATATTGTAAGGAGTACAGCTGGGAGGTTTTACTGCAATACTGATGGATAATTAGATGAAATATCTGTTCAGTACTCTTTAAAATGTATTTCTTAAGCAGTCTTTTCTACATTGTGTATTACAAAACTTCAAAGGCCAGGGCAGAAATTTGTTTTCTAATTTGGTGGGCTACTTCAAAAGTGTAGCACAAGCCCTACCCAAGATAATGTAGATCTCTCTTAGTCATAGTTAACGGGGAGTGCCTACTAACAGTGCCTAGTAATGGTGAGCCAGGGTGCTTACTAATGTTTTCTAAAGACTACTACATTCTTTGTGAGAAATTGTAATGTATTATGACTGACATAGACAGAAAATTGGCTCACAACCTGTAAATGGCTATCCGGAAGCATCATGTATAGGAGGTAAAGTAGAACAACATTTTATTTTTATAACCCCTTTAAGCCTGTGTTCAACATGCTAGCATTATTCATATGGTGACTTTGGGTCCTTATAGCATCATGTTTTGGTCTCCTGAAAATGTTTAAGTTCTGTAAAATAATTGCTTATTAGAATCACGCTGCTGCCAAGGTGCAGGTATCAGGATGAGAGTAACATGCACACATTGACTAAAGCAATGAAAGGGCTAATGCAGAACATCTGTTCAATCACAATGTAGATTACTTGATCCTTACTACCATACAACACCAGTTATATGGCTGTTTGCATTTCTGCAGGATAGCAGTTGCTAAACTAAAGTAATTTTAAAAAGAAATGCCCTTAGTTTGAGTAACTGATGCAGCAGACTTCCTATAGACACCATTGCCATGCGAAGGAGTATCTTGAATCTTGTTTTATTTTGATGAAACAAACAGTTTCTCTCTAACAATGTTTTTTTTCTTAAATTTGATAAGTCCCTTACTGTGACCCATAACGCAGCAGTATATTATACTGAGGAGTTAAACTAGAAAAGTGAAGCAGGAACTTTGATGTAACCTTAATTTATTTTCATTTTTAAATGTTCCATTAATAGTATGTGTGTTACATATAACCCGTGTGTCTGGCTAGTGAACTATTACCTTATTTTTATTTCCCTCCTACACTACTTGTTTCCATACTTGACTTTGTAGTATGATTGTGTGTATTGCGTATGTATTTAGGAGGAGAACTTGGGTAAGATCTTGGTTAGATGCTAAGTTAGAAAATAAAACTTTCAAAAAATCCATTTTGAGTTTAAACTTTTACTGCAAAGGTCATCAGCCAAGAAAGACTTTTACAGCTTGTCCTAGTTCATGGAAGTCTTTTACAGAGAGAAATTTTCTGGTTCTAGTGACAGCTTAAGTAGGTAGGGATGAAATATCAGAAGCTAATAAAAATGTTTTGCCTCAGAGCCTAGATCGTGCTGCCTCTTCTTTGCCCTCATGCTTAATAGAAGCAACAGCATATTGGGGCCCAGGTGGAGCCTCTACCTTATATCCATGACTTCCTTGGGACTCTTTCCTGGCGTATTCTAATGAGGATCACAGGCTAGGCCACAAATGGTCTGAGTAGAATCCTTTTCAGCTAACCTTATTTGTACATTAGTAGTTCATTATGGTGGTGATGGAGCAGTTTAGCCATATTTTCACCTTTTATCTTTTCCTGAATATATTAAAGAAACTGGCCAACTTATTTTCATATAATCTAACTGCAAAGACAACATCCATAGTTGGAAGGAGTCTGTAATGGAGTTTTTAAGGGAATCCAAAGCTATTTACAAAGGTGGATCGGTATCCCTTGGTATAAACTAGGAAAGTGAGGCAGAGAGATTCAGGGCCTGTTTTTTTTATAGGTGTTGATCAGCTCCATTCCCATTGGCTTCCACCACATGTACTTCACACAACCCACAGATGCTCAGTACTTGTGGAGAGAACGCTAGGATTATTAGCTTGTTGTCCTGCAGCAAGTCAGTGTCAGACTAGGAATAGAATGGTAGCGATTTACATAAAATAGGGTTGTTCAGCTCAAACTGCTGGCAAGAAGGCCATTGGAGGTCTCTGCTGTAGTGGGGGCTGGACTTATTTCTGGTATATATTTAGAACATCAGCTCTCCATTGGTGATTAGCAGTAATTTTCTGAAGAGTCATAGGGAGCCTGTCCCCATTCCTCATCTATCTTCTATTAAAACCCCTTTTATTCAGTCAGTTACAGCATGTCCAACAATTGTCCAAAAACCAGCTTGGTCTGACGTCTCACTCAGAAAAGCTTCTAGAGTTTAAGATCAACATCCACATTCCTGGAAACTGCACTGGAGCCAGCGTATTAATGCTATTATGAAAACAAATCAGTGGGAAAAGGTGCCTTGGGAGTATTTCCTGGTTATTTGTGCCTACGCAATGGAAAAGCCACAAATGCTGAAGTTATTCACTTTAGTTGTATTTTCTGAGAAATGGTTCAAGCAGCCTCTTCCCCCCCCCCCCCCCCCCCCCACATTGATATGGCTGACCTGTGGAACATCCCATTAAGCGTCAATGCAATGTATTGGCCCTAATTTCCCTACAGGGAATTGGTGGCATTCTCTTGCCAGCTTCTAACTACCTGAGGCCTGATTCTCAATTACAGTAAGTCCACTTTAGGTTGCTCTGGCAGTGTAAGGGGGTATTAAAGTGGGCTTACATTACATTTACACTTTAAGACCCTTGGATATGCCCAGTACCCCTAGAGTATAAGGAAAAGAAACCTAAGAGCCTGGTATATTAACTTTGTAAAATGCATCCCCAGGGACCTTTGAGTACTACTCTGCTATAAATGATAATCTATAAAAACATGTAAATCCTTGTATTCTTCTGAATGAAATCTAGCTTTTTATTTCAGAACTGAACATTCAATACTTCTGGACAAGCCGGAATTCAGTCCAATTGCACACTAAGTTTAAGAAAGATATACAGTATGATTCTTCAAAGCTATATTTGCTATTTTTACTTCAGTGAATATGTAAATTATTTTCCATTTCTTTAGTATGGAACAACCAGGTTAAAAAAAAAGTTGAGTTTTGCCAAGGCAAGTGTTGTGAGTTATTAAGAAATCCATTGGGCATTAAGTTTTTCGGGAGTGGAATGTCTTATATTTAAGTTGACTATTGTAGCAAGCACCAAAAACTTTTAAAAATGAAATTTGGTTCTGTTGCTATAGATGTGCTTCCTCTTACTTTGTTAATCAAGGCAACCTTGCAGTAATTACCCAAAAGTCCATTGTATTGCGTTGAATGAGCTGACATAGAATTGCTTTTTTACTATAGAATTTTTTAAAGGTCTCAAAAGTCTATGTGTTTTGAGGACTATTGTGTGGCCTTCAAAATTGCTGAGCCCTTAAAAGAGAAAACAATCTTAAGGATGCCACTCTTCCTCTGCTTATACTGAGGATGAAATTTCCATCTTTAACATTAATGCTCATTACAGTAATGTTGACATAACTCTTCTCAAGATGTGGGTGACATAGAATAACCACTGTACTGTGTATTCTGTATAATTGCAGCAAACAGGTAAGACACATAGCCAGATATCTGAGGCAAGTATACTACAGCCCTCATTACACATTTTCATATTTGTAGTTGGCCTCAGTACGTTTTGGAAACACATTCCATATCACAAGTAAAGCTATAGCCAAATCATGGAAGGGCAGTTTCCTCTGCAGAATGCCACTATTTGAGCAGATTCAAGACTTTTAGCATTTACTGGAAAATTATGGAGTCTGTTTCCAAAAATTTCCTTTTAACGCTACACTCCTTGGTTCTGATTCTGAGCCAGTGTAAATCAGAATTAACTCTATTGAAGTCAACTGAATTACACTGATGTAAAATGAGAAATAGGCCCTTTACAGTCATGTTGGTTGTGCCACGCACTATGAAACTCATTACTTTAATTCTGAAGACAATTGCAAGGCAAGGTTCCCTCCTCTTCCCACTGCCCACCTCGTCATTTAAAAACCTCTATTATGATAATGTTTGTATTGCAGAAGCACTTAGGAGTTCCAGTCATGGACCAGGAATGATCACATATTTAATCTATGTAGAATCCTTGTTCGGTGATTCCCATCATTACTGAAAAGAGCCGTCTCTGTGCGTTACATACATAGACAAAGGCATACTCCATTCTTTTTGCCTGAGGTTCTTATATCATATCATGCCTTTTCCCATCCAAGCTGATGATCTAACATGTGACTCAGAAAGGAATTAAGCACAAGACCTGGCAGTCTAGCTATAATTACTCCCCACGCCCAAAAATCTTTATTTTTGTCCTTTTCCTTTTCTACCATCTGCCATTGTTCTCTGTATCACAAAAACTGGAGCCTAAGCATCTGAGTGGTCTCTTACCTGTGCATTGCCTGCCAACTCTCCTCCAGTAAATAAGGTTGGACAGAGTTTCATTAATTCAGTGTGGTGTTCATCACAGGCATTGGTACTTCGAGATACGCACCCTCTTTCCTGGCAGCTGAAGATTCTGCCTCTAGGACACAGCACTTCGAGGTTACTGAGCTGGTCACTCATCTAGCTATTTAAATTATAGTGCAAAAAAGTTAGTATTTCAGACTTAAAAAAACCCCAACCACACACTCCAAACTCAGGCAAGACAATACATGAGATGTGCACTCTGTGCGCTAACAATGTGGACTCCAATTTCTTCTAGTTTAAAATAATTAAAACCACTACGAAAGGGTTGAAGAGTGATTTGTTTTCTAACAGCAGTCTGTGCGCTTGCTTTACTTGTCTAGAGAAGTGCCCAGACTGCAGTGTGTCCCTTTAAATACACAAACCCATTAAAGCAAGAGATTATAAAGGCTCATTATTTTAAATTACATGTAATTGGGGGATCAGTTTCAAGAGAGGTTTGCTGAATCTATTGTTAGTTAAATAATACACAACTATTGTCAAAGGAATAGTAGCATCGACCTTAAATCCACCAAAGGCTAGTCAGACAAGGGTTTACTTACCTTGCTCCCAGCTGTTACAGCACACACTGGCTATTTAACATAATACATCAATCTTACTTCTCTTCCTTGGAAACCTGTAGTCCCATGGGGTAATGAAAGGGCGCAGTGGATTACTTCTATTGTTAACTGTACAACTCAGACACATACTGGTACTTATTTTCTCTTCTTCCTCAGTAATTGGTGGAATAAATACTCTTCTAAACTGGAGATTTCAGCGTGTACCTATTTCAATGGAGTTTTTCAAGTTCATTTTGGATTTTATGCATTAGTTATTCATGCTGATTATACAGGACAAGCATAACCCACATACATATATAGAGACCTGTAAGCAAGGTTCCATGTACTCTGAGGCAAGCTTGACATAAATTTTGTGGCAAAATCATCTGCATTCCTCTGTTTGTAATAGGGTTAGAAGGGCGTTTAGGTAATACTGCAGTATAACAGATTTCAACATTTACGCCCCACTGATACGGTTGGGGCAATGCACTCCTCCCTTTAGGTGCTTTTTTCAGGCTGGTTGCAGACTCAGGTTTGTTACCAAGTTATTAAGACCTGCTAATGTAAGGTCTGATCTGCACACAGCTTTTGTAGCAGTATAACTATGTCTGGTTAGAGGTGAGATCTTTTACCATAATAGTTATACTGGCAACCCCTAGTGTGGATGCAGTTACACCAGGATAAAGATGCCTTACACTGATGTATCTTATTCCCCTTCCTGCATGGGAATAGCTATACTGGTATAAAAATGCACATTAGAGGGGCTTGTATCACTTTAACTGTCCCAGGAAAGCTACAATCTGTATGTTTAGATAAGGTCTAATGTCCACACAAGTGCATTGCACCAATTTAACTAAATCAGTTCAGGCCTTGGCTATACAAACTTGCATCAAAGTAACTAATTCACTCCCTTAATTATTTCAGTGAAAGTCTCTGTGGACTTGTCCATTCTAGGCGGAAAATGTGTTTGTAAAAACATGATAGCTAACACACTTGAAAACCCTAGAAGAAATGAGCAAGCTGTAGTTATAACCTATTCCCCTTGACCAGCTAACATATTTAAAACGTTAGCTCTCACATCTAACAAACCAAACAAACCTTTCATACCCCTAGTGTGAAGACTTTTTAGAAACAAAAGTGCCCTATTTCCATAGTTTTTAAGTTGGAAAAAAATTACTTTAGGCTAAATCAAAATAGGAAACTTACTCCAACAGAAGAGTGTCCACACACTCACTAGCACCGTGAGTTAGTGCAGCAGTGAGATCTTTCGGTGGCAGTTTGAGTGTATAGCCGCCCTTTGTTAAATCAGTACAGTGTGTGTAGCCCAGGTCTCGGGCAGACATCTTTGCATGGGTTATATCGACTCATCCTTGGAAGGGTTTTTTCCCCACAGTCACAAGGGGTAGATACGGTACTTAGTTTTTTTATAAACAAAAGCTGAGATTCTAGAGCAGAGTTTTGCAGAAAGAGGTAGATTTTATGGTGACAAAATTAATGGGGCCCTGACTACAAAGAAAAATTTGAGAAAAGAATACTAGATTTAGAGAAACTTCTGGGACACATTTAATGAAAGAGGTATAAATATGTCAGTTGTGTGACATTTATTTTGTTCTTTCTCCTTTCAGAACATTTGTTCTTTGGTACATGTTGAAGCACAACCAGCTCTGCCTTCTACAGTATTATTTGCTCAACCTGTTCTACAGCAACAGGGAACAATGGCTGCCAAGACTAATCACGGAGGAAGGGGGAAGCCTATTAACTAGACATAAGTTATATTCTAGTTGAAACAAATCCAAAACTGTAAAAAGTTACTTTC